CGGCCACGGGCAGCGCAGCAGGCAGCGGAAGAGCATGCCGACCCGGTCGTAGTTTGTGATTACGGCTTCATGGGGGACACTGAGCAGGAAGAGACTATGCCAATACTTGTCATCAAGGACCGGACGACCAAGGGATATGCAGCAACAGCCATTCCCAGGAAGGGGGTTCATCTCTTCAACATCAATTTCTTTGCAGGGGCAGTGAAGGAACTGGGGTGGAAGAGAATTGTGAGCAAGTCTGATGGCGAACACAGTCTTGTTGCCTTGAAGCAAGCAGTGTCTGACTCCATGCCAGGCGTGGAAATGGTCATGCAAGAGTCGCCTGTCGGCGACCACCCGGCGAACGGTGAGGCTGAACATGCTGTCAAAGAGGTGGAGAGACTGGTGCGGGTACACAAAGCCACCCTGGAAGAAAGGATCGGGAAGAAACTTCCGGTCGACCATCCGTTGTGGACGTGGCTACCGCGCCGCGCAGCAGCCTGCCTGAGCAGGTGCAGAATCGGCCCAGACGGCCGGACGGCAGAACAGCGGAGGACAGGAAGAGCTTGGGCCAAGGCAGCTGTGGAGCTTGGAGAAAGGATCCATGCTCGACCAGCGGTGCCTCAGGAGCCCAGGAGCGGCTTCGCGCCGAAAATGGTCGAAGGCAGGTGCGTAGGACACCAGTCCCGTACAGGAAGCCTTCTTGTGATGACCAGTACGGGCGTGATCCGTGCCAAGGCATTCAACAGGATGCAGGAAGGCGAGAGGTGGACCAGCGAGGGGCTGGAGGACCTCAAGGGGGTGCCATGGCAGATGGTGCCGCCGGCTGCGGGTAGCACCGCGCCGGCCCCGGCTGCGGGCAGCCCCGCGCCGGCAAGGGCTCCGCCACTCGCGGCGGGAGCAGAGGCAGCCGCGGACGCTGCAAGACCAGCGCCTGCGCCACACCCGGTGGCAGCAGGAGGAGGAGGAGGAGTAGGAGGAGTCCCAGGACCCAGGAAACTCTACATCCTCAAGAGGGACATCGAAGCCTGCGGGCCGACTCCCAACTGTATGGCGTGTACGAACATCTCGTGTGGGATACCGGCAGGAGTGGCGCACTCTGTCGAGTGCACGCAGAGAATTAAGGCGCACATTGAGGCAGATGTGCAGCAACGGAGGCGGGTGGAGGCGCAGCAGGCACGCAGAGGAGCTGATGTGCCGGCGCCGCCCGCGGGCGGCTCCGCGGCGGACGCGCCGGGAGCGCCTAGACAGGCAGGAGTCCCAAGGGGGCCGCCTGGGCCGGCAGAAGAGCGGCCAGCAGCCAAAAGGAGGCTGGACCAGATGCCCACGGCACTGGACCGGGCGGCGCTGAAGCGACCGCCGGAAGATCCGCCTGACGTTCCAAGGCTAGAGACGGCGGACGACGACGTGATCGTGCCGCCAGCGGTGCAGGCTCAGGCAGCCGCAGCATCGGAAGGAGCGAGCGCGAGCTCGTCGGCGGGGCCGGCTGCGGGTAGCTCCGCGCCGGCGCCGGCTGCGGGGAGCTCCGCGCCGGAAGGGCCAGATGTGGCCATGGGGGGCTTCTCAGCAGGGAAGGAGGAGCTGAGACGCATGTACGAGGGTAGGATCGTGGAAGCCTACCGTACAAGTTGCGTCGACTTGTCGTCTTCTGAACTGGTCGACGTCACCCAGATGGCAGTCGAGCTAGGAGCCGTCGAGTTGCCAGACGCGCGCCCTGGAAGGCACACGGTTCGCAACCCACCTGCCGGCAGCCTGGGGTCGAGGCCCGGAGTGTGCATGGACATGGAATGTCCACGGCCTGATGGTGCGAAATGGGATTTCGCTAAAGAAGCAGATGTGTCTGAGTGGTTCGAGAGACTGGAGCGCGAGGATCCCTACATCGTCGTCGGGTCGCCTCCTCTTACAGCCTTTCCTCAACTACGACGTACTCCCAAGAAGAGGAACGAGGAGGAGAGTCGTAAGGAGGAGGAGGAGGCGAGGAGGAACTTGTGGGTTGCATGTGAAAACTACAGGAAACAGGCAAGGAGGGGGCGATACTTCTTGCACGAACACCCACATTGCGCCAGCAGTTGGGAGGAGAAGGAGGTAGAGGAGGTCATGAGGGGAGAAGGAGTGGTGCGAGTGAAGGGCCCCATGTGCAGGTGGGGCGAAGCAGGAGACAGCGGCGCACCCTTCGCACGAACCCCGACGAGTTTCATGACCAACCTTCCAGAGCTAGCCGCAGAATTGCGCAAGCAGAGCTCCGGCGAGAGAGGCAGCGGGCAGCCCCGCGCCCAGGAGCCACTTGTGCATGTGAAGCTGGAAGGCGGCCTCGTTCGGAGGTCACACCTACGCACCCCAATGCTGGCACAATGCCTTCTGCGAGCCATTCGTGAGAGCATGGGTGCTGACGGCCAGTTGTCCGATCTGGCCGCAGCGACAGCAGGCCCTGTGCCGGTCGCCCCAGAACCGTGCGAAGCAGGCGGGGAAAGCCTGGGCGACGACGAGCGCTACTGGGACGACGTGAACGGAGGCTGGCTGGACCCACAGATGGTTCGAGAAGAGCGACGGCGAGAAGTACAGTGGCTACACAAGCAAGACGTGTACGAAAAGAGGACAATAGAAGAGTGCAGACAGGTGACAGGGCAACCGCCCATAAAGCTGATGTGGATAGACACCAACAAGGGCGACCACGAGAATCCGAACTACAGGTCGCGGATTGTCGTGCGAGAGAAGCGCGGCAAGGGCGAGGAAGGACGAAAACTCCCAGCAGCACTTCTCTTCTCAGCAATGCCACCTTTAGAAGCAGTCAAGATTCTAGGCGGCATGATGGTCCAAAGGCGGAGGTCCAGTAGGGACCGGCCTCTGGCCATGAGGTTCTTTGACATCTCCCGGGCCCATTTCTATGGGAAGGCGGAGAGAGCGGTGTATATAGAGTTGCCAGACACAGAAGCGGATGGCGTACATTGCGGTCTTCTTAAGAAAAGTATGTACGGCACGCAGGACGCATCTGCGATATGGCAACGAGATTATACGGCAGTCTTAGAAGCAGACGGACACAAGCCAGGCAAAGCCAACCCGGCATTGTTCTACAACATGAACGCCGACTTGCGGTCTCTTGTCCACGGAGACGACTTCTGCGCCCTGGGAGACGACGAGGCTTTGGGCGAGCTGGAAAAGACGCTTCGGTCCAAGTACGACCTGAAAGTCACAGGAAGCCTCCGGCTTGGAGCCAGGAGTGACCAGGAGGTGGTCTTCTTGAGTCGCATTTTGCGTGTTGCTGGGGCGCCAGGGGGCGAACGTTTCGAAGTTGAAGCAGATCCCCGCCGCGCAGAGATGATCGTGGCAGAGATGGGGCTAGCAGGAGAGAAGACGAAAGCTTTGGACACGCCAGGGCTGAAGAAAGAAGAAGCAGAACACGAGGAGAGAGAAACTTCGCCGCTGCTCACCGGAGATGCTGTGAAGCAGTACAGGAGCGTGACGATGCGTGCAGCTTATCTTTCTCCAGATCGTGCGGACATAGGAGACGCAGTGAAGAACTTGGCAAAGTATATGCAGTCTCCGAGGCAGGTAGATGCTGCACGCCTGAAGAGGTTGGCCAGATACCTCAAGGGACGGCCGCGTGTCGTGCAGAAGTTCACCAGGGACAGGAACACTGCCAACGATGACGTCGTCAAGGTAGTGATCATGGTGGACAGCGACAACGCCGGAGACAAGGTGTCTCGGAGGTCAACAGTCGGCCAAGTTGCCTTCGTCGGCAAGCACGTGGTCAAGCACATGTGCAACATCTTGCAGGTGATCGGTCTCTCGTCTGGCGAGAACGAGTACTATGCCATAAGCGCGGGTGCTTGTACAGGACTAGGCATCAAGGGTATATTAGAACACTGGAATGTGGTGTGCGAGCTGAAGGTGGTCTCTGACTCATCAGCGGCACGAGGCTTCTCTTCGAGGAGAGGGGTAGGAAAGCAGAAACACATCCAGACACGATACCTCTGGGTGCAGGAGAGACTCGCTATGAGACATCTCGACCTTGGTAAGATTGGCACGAAGGAGAACAGGGCAGACTTGCTCACCAAGCCACTTACGAAGAAGGAGATGGAGGAGCACATGAAAGGAGTCAACCAGGAGTTTCGGGAAGGGCGAGCGCAGTCTTGTCTGCGCCTACTCTGACCGGACCGCAGAGGAGCCGGGAGGCGAAACGCCCGGCATCGAGCACGAGCTCGACTCTGAGCCCCTGGCTGCGGGTAGCCCCGCGCCGGGTGCGCAACCGAGCCTGGAAGCGGGGAGCTCCGCACCAGGCCTGAGCCCAACGCGGCGCCTAGCTGCGGCGGGTGGCCCCGCGCCGGGCGCAACGCTACTGAGCACTGAACACCTTGCCACTGCGTGGTTGTGGATCGCCACAGCTCCGCTACCTTTTCTGGATGGCGAGGGCCGTCCGCCGGACTGACAGAGCGCCGCGAGACGGGGTGCAGCCCGAATCGCTGCGAGGAGGGGTGAAGAAATTCCCCCCTCAGACGCTTGTAGTATCAGGAATGTGGAGCAGCATGCAGCAGTGTAGAATGCATCATGTAGCATAGCATTGTTGTCACGTTGCATTCCATAGCCCCTTTCGGCAAAAGACTTCTTCACGGACCCTCCAGAACTGCCTTCGCGGGGTAGGCTCCCACCCAGAGATCCAGCTGTCTCCAAGTCCAGGTCCGCCCCTGGCGACGGCCCCAAGTCCAGGTCCGCCCCTGGCATCCATATTCATAAGTCCAGGTCCGCCCCTGGCATCCATATCCAAAGTCCTGGTCAGCCCCAGGCACCCAGTCAGCGCCGCGAATGGCGGCTCATCGTGGGGCTGCTGCTGCTGATCGGTCTGCTGTTTCTCTCCGGCCCCCTGGTGCTGAAGCGAGCGAAGGACTTCATCGGCGAGCAGGTGGCCGTCAACCAGATGCAATCCATCAACGCGATCCCTGGAGGGATACGGCCGCCCTCTCCCGTGCTGCTGCTGAAGTGGCCAAGAGGCCCCAAGCGCCTCCATCGCCTCCACCTCCTCCGAGCTCATCGACCCCATGGGCGCAGTCAACGCCGCTATCAAAGCATCGCAGGATTTCCTCACGGCGCAGCTTGATGCGAGGCTGGCCACTGTCAAGCAAGAAGTCATCGCAGAGTTCGCCACACAGCTCAGAGGGCCGCTGGGCGCGGTCGTTGGTCAGCAGCAAAAGCAAAACGAACAGTTCAATGGGCGCGTCCAGTCGCTCCAGGCCGCCTCGACCAAGCTGGAAGCAGATCAACGAGAGTTACGTGCCCAGGTCGCTGAAATTCGATAGAAGCTATTCATGCAAGAAGCAGATATCCCCATCAGAGACTACGAGAACCTCATCGAGTGGGACAGGGCGGCAGACACCAGCATCATCGTTGGCACCGCGTCGGAGAACTGCACTACGGACCAGCTCAAGCATAGCATCAAGCCGATCATGGACAAGTGTGAGCTCAGCGAAGCCGACTGGGAGGTGGTTGGGAAGAGCCCAGCGAGACGCTTCATCATCCAGTTCAGTGGGGATGCCAACGCATCCGCGCGGAAGGTCAGAGCATTCTACAGCAAGCTCAAGAGGCCCGACGGGGATTGGGTCAACACAACAAGACTCCTCCTCCGCCTGGATCGCTCGGGGAAAACGGCGCGAAGTGAGTTCCAGACCAAGAAACTTACCCAGTTCTGCAAAGCGCAAGATGCCACGAAGCGGTGGCGAGGTGACCGACAGCAGGACATCATCCACTGCAATGACATGCCAGTCCTTTCCATCGTGGCCGGCTCCACAAAGGACGAACCCACCCGTATGTTCTTCAATTGCAATTTCTGCTTTCAGCACGGCATCAATCGAGAGGAGAGCCGCGTGCAGTTCGAGCAATTCTTCCAGACCTCGCCCGACGCGCAGAATGTACCGTGGCAGATCTGATTGGATCCTCGCCCCTTGGCGGGGCACAGATGGGCCGAAGCCGATTTCTTTCGCGACGTGGAATCCGAGAGCGCTGCTGGGCAGAGACCCCAGCAAGAGGAAGAAGAAGATCGCGCTCATGAAGCTGGTGGTGAATTCCACGGCCGTGCTAGCCCTGCAGGAGGTCCATGCAGCGGGCACGCTCCACAGCAAGATCGCGACCTACAGCGCCCACAACCTGCAACTTGCTGCAGACCAGGGCCATCCCACAAGGGGCGCGACCCGTGCCGAGCTCAGAATTGCTGAACAACAACCGGAGAGGCTCAAGGCGTTCGTCGTGGATGACCTCAACTTCATGGACGAGGCCAAGCCAGAGCTGACAGCACCGCTGGTCGACATGGCCCTCCCTCGCCGCCGAAATCACCACCCAGAACACCAGCTACATTGGGGGCGAGCTCTGGGTGACATGGTGGAGGTCGACCCCGAGTTTCCGTCGCGCTACGCTGAGCAGTCGCAGCAGTGCACGCAGATTGAAGACATGATTTTAGAGCTTCGCCGCCAATGGCATCCTGTAATTCCGGCGAAGCCGAGCCATGCCAAGCACGTCAGGCGCTCCTGGACAAGCACATCACCCCCCACGACTGCTCCCAGATGGACACCCCGTCGGTGGACAAAATGCTGGCCATGACGGGATACCGTGCACTGCCTGGAAGCGCTCCCCCCCCGCGGCGCCACTCCTCATTGAGGTAATGGTCGGGGCAATGAAAGGTTTTCCTGTGCCATTGGTCTTCAACGACTCGCTCATGACTTTCATTCCGAAGGGGTCGGAACCTGATGGTGGAATCTCAACCACCAGACCTGCTAAGGCCACGAAACTCCTCTCGCTGAATAACACGGACTGCAAGATCATCGCTGCCACGGGCATCGAGATGACGAAGCCTTGCGGCGCGAATGGGGCCCACGCGGCGCTGAAGGGCCTCCCCCCGAAGCACCGCTTCCTCGAACTGGTGATGGCCACAGACGCGCAGTCCCGCATTGTCGCCGTGCAAGATGACTCGACGAACGAAGATCCGTTGATGGTCCCATGCGATTTCGGTGACACGTTCCCCTCGCTGTGCAGAACAAGGCTCAACATAGCATCGGAGAAAGCGGATTACCCCGAGGGCATCTGCAACATGATGGAGGCGACCTACCTACTGCCTTTCGCTTTCACCAACCTCGCGGCCGCCATTGAGTGCTTCGTTGCCCTCGCCTCGGGATGTCTTTTGGGGTGCCCTTGGTCGGGCGCGCTGTGGATGGTGGCTTTGGGCCCGCTGTTCTGGGTCTTGCACCCGTGGTCGGAGCACCTCGTGGGCGCGGTCCTCGGGGACCGCGTTGGCGCCGTGGGTTGCGTCCTCCCCTCTTCCAAGATGCTCCGCCTGTTGAGCAGGGTGTTCTTCGTGCCGGAGTATGGGGCTCGCCTGGTGCTGAAGTCGGCGAAGACGACGAAGTGTAAGATCACCCCCATGGCGGAGGCAGTCGCCCTTGCGGTGGAGGACAGGATCCGTGCCAAGATCGCCGACCTGGTACCACGCAGGGGTGACATCGTGATCAATGACAGGGCGGGGTACCTGGGAGTGCTAGAGGGACCCAGTGCTGATGATGGACACGGCTGGGGGAAGGTTATTCTCGGCTGGCAGCGCTATACTACCAAGTTCGCCCACATCGGGGCCCCGACCAGCACTTCGCTGATACTATGCAACCAGCGAGCGGTGAGCAAGATCTCATGCATCAGCCAGCTCTTAGCGTGGCCGCAGAAGGTGAAGAAGAAAGAGTACTGGGTACTACTTCGCGTCTGGCACCTACCTCCACAAGCTATCCCTCGTGATGCCCTGCTGGCTTGGGCGCTGGACTTCGCTGAATGCGGTCTCCCACGAGCACAGCAACCGATCGGCACTGATGCGCAGCACCACTGTTTCTGGCCTGAACAGGCAGTTCTGGGCTCGACGTCTGCGCGACGCAGTGGAGTTCAGCCTCCCGTTCCACGCCCGCTCGCATGGCCTGGTTGCCCCCCCCTCTACTGGAAGTCGAATCCGATCACGTACACCCTCGAGGAAGCGTCGCAGGGATTCCCCAGCGACACGAACCGCCCGCTGGCGGTGGCCTACGCCGCTGCGCTGGGTGAGGGGACGGTGGAGAAGGCCCGTCTATTGGCCGGATCTTCTACGGCTCGTTTGTACGCGCAGAAGTTTACTCACTCCCTCTACGTCTCCTCTCCCGCCCCTGACCGCCCGCCTGTCACTGTTCACTCTTGCCTCAACTCCTGGGCGAAACCTACCGAGTCTTTTTCTCTTTTTTAGATCGAATGGGAGCCACTCAAAGAGCTCCTGAGCAAGAGTCTCAGGCCTGCTGCTCAATCGGCACTTATCAAGACGCGGGCTGGAGGGCGGACCACGTCCCGTCGCCTTTACTTGTATGACGTCTGCAGCCCCTGCTTTTTTGGCTGCTGCCAGTCCGAGGGCGAGCGCGCCTCTGACGCTTTAGCGCACTTCACACGCCGCCCACCTTTTTGGCAGGCAGCGCGCGCTGGGTGGCATGCGCAGCTTGGCATCCCGCAGCTGACTCTGAATAGTCTGGGCCTCTGCAGCGGGGGGTCTGACGAATTTCCACAGAGCGTGCTGCTGGAGCGCGCGGTCGTCGCCTTCCACATCTACCACATACGGATGAAGCTCCCCATTACAGGGTGGTTGCTTCCTATTGCTGTTGAGGACAGTGCCCGAGCCGCATGGGCGCTTCTCCTTTCAACTCGCATGGCTGTACAGTGATCATCTGGACATTGTGCGGCGCAGAAGCACGAACGATACATATATATATATATATACACATAGTTTTATGTATATGTACATGTTTATGTGTATATGTATATGTGTATGTGTAGGTGTATTTATGTTTGGTATATGTACATGTATTTGCACGTGTGTATGTATACGTATATTTTTGTTGATGCACTTGTTTAAGTACATGGCTATGCATATGCATATGCATATGTCCATGTGTATGTACAAGTATGTAGATGTGTACATGCACAAGTATGTGTAGGTGTATATATTTGTATATCTAACTATATTATCATTATGTATGTATTTGTATGTATGTGCATGGGTAGAATTGTTTTTTTCCCGTATTTATGGTCAATGCATGTATACGTATATATGTGTGTAGACATGCATGTTTACATATGTGTAATGTATGTGTGTATTTGCATGTGCCGAAATTTGTATACGTTTTCGCATACGCATATGCGTATGCGCATGTAGTGACATGTGTATGTATGTGTATATGTTCATGTACATGTATATATATATATGTGCATGGTGTACGTATGTGGTGTATATATATATATATATCCATAGGTGTATGTACATGTATGGGTATGTGTATGTGTATGCGTATGTGTATAAGTATATGTACATGAATGTGTTTTTGTATACAAATATGTACATGTACATGTATATGCATGTGATAATGTATGCACATTTGTCTATGTATATGTATATGCATATACATTTGCATAAGCACACGAACATGCGTGTTTGTATACATAGTTAGATATGCGCGTATATATGTGTGCATTTATGCATGGGTGTATGTATGTACGTATGGACATATTTACGCCTGTACATATGTATGTTTGTATGTATGTTTTGTTAGGTGTATGCATCTACGTTTGTATGCATGTATCTATGTATGCATGCATGTACGTATGTAATGTACGTATGTATGTATGTACGTCCGCATGCATGTATGTAGGTATGCATGTATGGACGAATGTATGTATGCATGCACGCATGTATGTATGTGTGCATGCATGCATGTATGTATGTATGTTTGCACGTACGTACGCATGTACGTATGTATGTATGTATGCATGCATGTATGTATGTATGTATGTATGTATGTATGTATGTGTGTGTATTTATGTATGTATGTATGTATGGATGTATGTATGTATGTATGTATGTATGTATATATATATATATCTATATTTATGCGCATGCATACATGTATGATTGTATGTATGCATGCATGCACGTACGTACGTATGTCTGTCTGTCTGTCTGTCTGTCTGTCTGTCTGTCTGTATGTATGTATGTATGTATGTATATGTATGTATGTAGGTAGGTAGGTAGGTAGGTTATGTATGTATGCATGTATGCATGCATGCATGCATGCATGCATGCATGTATGTATGTATGTATGTATGTATGTATGTATGAATGTATGTATGTATGTATGTATGTATGTATGTATGTATGTATGTATGTATAAACTTACATACGTACATACATAGCTGTGTCTATTACGACCCGCGCCCTGGACCCATCTTTCCGCGTTCTTTCTCGAGCCGCATCGACCAGTGAGGGTCCTGGGCCCCAGAGCTGGGCGAACACGCCTGGCATGAGCAACTTTCAGCGGGCGGAGAGCGGTATAACGTCAACTTCTCCGCCGTCGGGGACGCCTGCCCCAGGGCGACTGGAGAGTTTCTACCCCAACGTGGCACCGTAGTTTATACCTCTGGCCTCTTCTGGCCTTCCTGGAGGCCCTCTTGGGGGCCTCTTGGGCCGTCTTGTACCCCAACGTGGCACCGTAGTTCATACCTCCAGGACCTCCAGGTCGGCCCAACCCTTCGGGTCTTCGGCCCGTAGCTCGGCTCCCCGGCGGCCGACAGGGACGAGCCGAGCACCCTCGGCACGCCCTCGGAGAGGCGCCGGGGCGCGGCCGCTGGGAGGCGCCCCGGGGGCAGGGAAGCCGCCGAGGGCCAGCAGCGGCGTCCGGAGGCTTCGAGCCTCGAGCCTGCGCGTGGTGTGGTGGGTGGGCGATGCTAATGGAGCTAATGGAATCCTATCAGAAGAGGATCCACTTCTCATAGAATCCGATTAGGGATGGATCCACCTTTCATAGAATCCTAGGTATGGATGGCTCCATCTGTGATAGAATCCTATCAGGGATGGATGCCTCTGTAATAGAATCCCACTAGGGATGGATCCATCTGTAATAGAATCCATTGGGGGGGCGGCGATGGCTGCGCAGAAGGGGCCCCTCTGAGGCCCAGACGGGGGGCCTGCAGTGCGACCCGACGAGGGCCCCCCTCCTCCCCCCCCCTCCCTCCTCTTGTTCGCCCCCCGTGAGCTCGCGCCCAAGAGCCTCAGAGGCCGAGCCTCGAGCCTCGCTCTCCAGGAAGGCCTCGAGCCTCGAGGCCACGAGGCCGCGAGGCCGCGGCGCGAGCAGGGCCGGGGTGCCCTCCTCCGCGGGGCGCGCGAGCCTCCGCGGGCGCAGGCCCGAGGCCTCCTCCTCGGGGCGGCGGCCACTGGGCCGCGGGGCTCCCAGGGAGAGCGAGCGGGGGGTCCAGGAAGAGCAGGCGGGGGGTCGTGGGAGGTCGACAGGCCTCCTACCCCGACGCGTCGAGTGGCGAGCTGGCCGTTTCGGGTTCGCGAGGGGGCGTCGCGGCCGTCGTCTTTGCGGGTCCAGGTCCGTCGGTTTCGGTCCCAGGCCGCTTTCACTAGAGGGTGGGCTTGCTACAGGGAGGTTTGTCCACCGCCGCGGTCAGCCAGAGCGCCGGATCTTGCATTAGGTCGGGCATGTCCTCCTACAGGCGGGTCTTGGGTGACAAGAAGATGCAAGCACGGTTGCAAGTAGTCGAACAAATCCGCAGGGGGACGTGCCCGACGTAGCTCTTGCAGGAGCCTGCTGGGCCAGGGGTGCACTGACCAGGGCTTTGGGGCGCAGGATCCCGCAGGAGCCTGCGGGATCCTGCAGGATTCTGCAGGGCCTGGCCGACCCGGGCTTGCGCGGGCCCGGGGGCCGCAGACCCCCGATCGGGGGCGGCCCGCGGGGCCGAGAGAGGGTCCGCGGGGCCGCCGCCGCCCTCCGCGGAGAGAGCGCGAGAGAGTCGGGGGCGGCCTATAGCCCACCCCCTAGTATTCAGTCGGGCCCGTCCCTCGACGGGGGATGCTCAAAAATAGTCCATTCATTTTTCGTCCAAAATCCGCCTGTAGGGGGACAGGCCCGACCCAACCCTAGCGAACCATCCCCTTCTGTGACGTCCCCCTCGCCTCGCCCCAAAACTCGAGTAGAGGATCGACTGCAGAATTAACTTGCTCCAAACTTGGTTTCCCGGCCAGAAATGCAAGAAACGCGAGGAGTGTTCGTAGATCAATGGGACACTGTACGTATTTTTGGAAGATTCGGCGGGAAATCTTGGGTTCAGAAAGTTCTGTCGTCGATCCCTACTCGAGAGACGTATGTGTGCGGCCGGAAGTGAGCTCGAATGGCGAGGATGACGCCACGGAATGGGATGGTCTGCCAGGGGTCGGTTAGGCCGCGCCCGAGCCGCCGCCGCCGCCTTCCGCGGGGAGGGCGAGAGAAGGTCTGATCGTTGAGCTCTTGGCGACTCTCCTCCTCCCCTGAGATCCCGGCGACTCGATTTTTTCGAGCCGGGCGTTTTCGTCCTGTTTCGGGCCCCAGGACCCTCGCACATCGATCGGGCGCGCAGAATGACGCAGAAAGATGGGATCTAGGTCTCCAGTCGTGATCTTTCGCGCTGGATCATTTTTCCGAGACATCGGATCTCAGGGTCCTCGTCCTCCTCCTCCTGTGCACTCCTCCTCCTCCTCCTCCTCCTCCTTCGATGGGTTGTGCATTGGCACCTCCCGTGCATGCACGGGGCCGTCGCTAGCGCCCCTCGTTGGTGAGGTGCCGACCTGCAGATTGGAGGGTGGCTCTGCCCCTCCCCTCCTCTTTTGACCTCTTGCTTCGGACTCTTGAGGAGCGT